ATACAAGATGAACAGGCTTGCTTTCTTCTGTGATTTCAACACGTCTGCTTCCTGTAGGAGCTGGAAGTAGGACATACCATAACAACTGTCAAAACATTTCAGAACCTCGAGCAAGGTGTGATTGGAGCCAGCCTCTAGAAGCAGAGAGGACTTGGGGAGCCATGTGAGTGGGCTGGGCCCTCTGCTCTCCACTGATCCAAGGACCAAATGTGACCTTACCAAAGGTGTAGCAGTGTGACTCTCACTCAAATCTCTTTTCTGGCTGGCCCAAAACGTTCACAGCCAGGCTGAAGGACACTCGAGAGACTCCCAGACACTGAGGGCCATCATCCCTTCCCGGCTGAAATCTTCTGGCAGCCTGTGGGTGCCTGCCCTCAGCCCACACACCATGGTGTCTGGCCCTGCAAGAGCTGAGTCCCTTTTACAGTGGGGATCAGTGAGCTGCTGGGAGAGGGGCACAGGCAGGGCTCCAGCACTTGTGGAAAATGGTGGGATGGGAGCCAGATCACTGAGGCCAAGGAGCTCCAGCCAGGGCCAGGGTTAGGCTGGGAAGGACTGCTGGCCTTCCAGGGAGAGGCAGAGGAGAGGGGAGAAGGAGAGGGGACATGCCCCAAGACAGGAGGAATTGTTTAGAGAGGAAAAGAGGGCAGCTCCAAACAGCTCTGTGATGGAAGGGGCAGCTCACTGGTGGGAGGGGGAGAGGTGACTCAGGACTGGGAGAGACATATCCTCCACTGAGGGAGACATGGGAAAGGAGAGGAAAGTCTCCTAACTGCAAAGTAGGGGATAAAATCAAGGTACTGTATATTAAAAGACATGGTTGCCTCTGGTGAGGCAGCTGGGCCCAAGTGGGAGGGTGGTGAGAGATGAGCTGAGAGTGAAAAACAGGCCCCAAACTGGGGTTTCGGTGCAGGAGATGAAAACACACCATGCAGGGGTAGGGTAAAGTGACAGAAAAGTGGGAACAAAACTCAGAAAAGGGAAGCATTTGGGAGAAGGACGGACACAAACAGGACAAATATGGCATCTCTGTTGAGAAGGAACAAGAGAAAATTGGCTCCAATGCAATGAGGGAAAGGCAGGAAGCTGCTGTTGTGTGCTGCCAACACACGCAAACATGGCTGGTGAATGGAAAGTTATAATATACATTATTCATTAGGGCAAACTTAATTTTTAATGAAAGAATATTTCTATGCCTACCTCACGAGAAATGTGTGAAGATCTTTGGGGACTCATGTTTTGTGGTCTTGGTTATTCACACAGGCATTGTGGGAGAGCAAAGCACAGGAAAGCAGCACGCTATTTGAAAGGAGACTTCATACTGAGGGAAGGAAACTTTCTCCACTCCCAAGAGGTTTTATATCTCAAAATCTAAAGAACTTTGCTCTGTCTTTCAAAAATGCTGGGAATTCCTACAAATTTCTTCCTTTCTGTCCCAAATGGTTAGTTAAGAGCCTTCCTCTAAAATCTGGATATGGCCTTTGAGAATATTATTGTTACTTTTATTTACCAAAAAATCTCTTTCAAATAAAAAAAAACAAACAACAAACCAAACGACAAACAAAACTGATGAATATTTAGTAAGTATAATAAAAGGGATTTGCTGCACCAGTGCTAGATATGTTTAGTAATTTTAAGAAGCAGTACGAGACATGCAGTGACGATGTTTTAAAACAATTTGTCTGTGATCTTTCCTGAGTGCCTGTCAATACAAGCAAACTGAATTTTAGCCTGCCAAGTACTCTTTGACCTGTCATTCATGTCTTTCAATCTCCAAAACATTTGCATTAGTCCTCACTCTCCTTCAGTGAATGCACTCCTTTGACCTCGTCCAACCCTGTTTCTTGCCACAAGAGCAGCTGATGAAGTGTTAGACCAGGGACTCTGGGTAGTGTGTTTTAAGAAGGGAGTTTGAGACCCATGTTTCATATAGGTTATGCTATAGCACTGAGAGAGGATGGTCAGGTGTTTGGTGGAAGTCAGGACACTGGGAGTATTTTCAAGAGAGAGAAAATCCTGGCAACTGACATGGGTCAGAAATGCAATTCTCAGAGACTCCTGGCTGAAACCTGAAACAGTTGCAGAAAAAAAAAAAAGAAATTGTTTTGCTTCTCTGAAGCAATTGGTAAATCCTCCTGTTCAGTGAGGATACATGCCTGCACTGCACAAAGGGTACCATGGCCAGCTTTGGTATCAGAAACACTCCAGCAACAGTAATAAAGTAAAGAAAACTTATCCTCTGGAAAAAGACACTACAGTAGTAGGTTAATGCCATTTAGGTGACAACCAACACATGAGAAAAAATTGTTTAGTCACTGGAGCAAAAGGAAGAGCAATTTTTTTCACAGTACTTGCATAACTCTTGGGTTTGAAATGTGCAGTAACTGTTGATTTCCATTGCTAGTTCATAGCCTTATTTTTGGTATAATTTCTTTTTAAACTTTCTAGAGTTCAATGTAGAAAGTTACCTAATTGTGCATTGTCTGCTCATAAACCTGTGTGGTGCACCTCTCTTTAGATTTTCCATTTCATCTGATTAGAGCTGCTGCAGTGTTTCAAGCATTGCTTTGTTTTGTGTGAAGCAATTTGCAACCCTTTTTTGAGAAACATGTTTTTGTTGGGATACAAGAGTATCTCACTTTGAATTTCTTTTTCAGTTCTCCATTTTTCTGTTTCTTTTTTAAGTGCTAGTTTCTTTGGCTGATATGGAACCAAAAGCATAATTCAGGCTTTTTTTCTTGTGTTATTTCAGAGGACACTAAAAATAGATTTTTCTGCTATAAATGTCTATTTAATACCATTTTCCAGCTGAAGTCTGCTATGATGGTACTCACATAGTGTTTGAGACACCTTCTGAAATTACAAAGAGATCAGAAATAGTACAGGGACCACATTTTTGGCCAGAGTGGCTCTAGGGAGACTGGCTCATAGTGGCTTCTACACTTGGCTTGCTAACTCCTGAGTTGTTTTAATGGGCATCCTGTACACATCTTTTTGCAGAAACCTAGATATAGGACTTTTTTAAAAGTATCCAATTTATTTAATGAATTCAACTACTCTATCACACAGCATACTAGAATGTTACACTGTATTAAAAAAAAGTTTCAGAATCAGTTTAAATGGAAAAATTCAGGACTACCCATTTGGTGGATTTTGTATACCTTGTCAACACAAACTTCTCTGCTAACCTGAGGTGTTGCTGTAGCATTAAAGAGAAACTTCATTTATCCACTGTGGAAAGAGAGATGGCAAACAGATGACTGCAAATATGTAATCTAAAGGTTTAAAATTAGCATGAGTGTAAAAGTCCACCATAGAAATAGCTTGCACACAAGTAAACATACAAGCTAGTTTTGCACTCCTCAAAATGCTGAAGGATTAAAATTTCTGCACCCCTGTGACTGACAGCCAGCGGCTTTGCTGGTGCTTTTCTTATGCGAACTCCATTACTGACTATCTGTAAGAAAATCTTGTGATTCATTTACTGCTCCATTTCTACCAAAGTAGATACCTGGGTTCATAAAACTGTCTGCTATGTAAAGATTTCTGCAATATAAGACAAAACCACCATTGTGGTAAATCCATTGCACAACAGGATCCTGGGAAGTATTTATGAATCTCCTGCCAAACTGCTTAAATCATGACTTTGTTACAAGCATCAGGTGTTTATAATCTTGTTATGATATTGAGGCCTTATACAGCTGGCTTTTTACAATACTTTTGTAGTCAGTTTAAAGCCATCTGGGGCAGGTATTGCCAGGTATACATGATTTTGTTGTTGTTGTTGTTGTGACTACACACGCACCCTCAGCACCCTCATGGTATTTTCTCAGTGTGTGACAGTACAATTGAAGTTAAATTGTGTCATTGTTTATTTGTACTTGGTGACTACTTATGATGTTCCTGAGAGCCACAAGTGAGAATTACTGTTTCAGTTTGTCATGTCTTCAAATTCAGATCCTGAAAATTATATAAAAATGTCGGATTGGTCTCCAAATAAGCCAAATATTGATATGCAGCTTTGAATGTCTTCTATATAAAAATGTCGGATTGGTCTCCAAATAAGCCAAATATTGATATGCAGCTTTGAATGTCTTCTAATGTCATAATTTTTACTGTGCTTTTATAAAGCCCAAGTCTTTAAACATAATTAGAGTAAGAAGGTATAGATATCACAGACATGATACAGATATCATATAATTTTTATCTTTTGGTTACTAGACAAAAAGCTTGCATTTGGAGATCATCTTATTAAAAGACCAATGATATACGGATTAAAAAGATTAGAGTTGAGGTTTTATCTGTATTTTGCCATTTATTAGTTAAAGGCCATAATTTGCTAGTTTTTAATACCATGTTATGATTGGATCACTCTAGTATTTAGAAGCTGCAAACAAAATCAAGGCTGTATTACCTTGGATTCTGAAAAATCACATAGAAAAAAGAAGCTTCTTCTTGGCAATTGAAATTAAAGAATCCTCAGGGACCAGGGAGGGAAAGAAGGACCTTTCCTGACTGACTTAATTATTTTTCTGTGGCAGAATGACTTGTTTAAGGTCATAGAAGAATTAAATTTCTGTATTGGTGAGCAGGTGGAAAAAAAAAACAACAGAGGCTGTTTAATCTGCACTTTCACGTGCAGGTTTTTTTACTAATTTCCTAAGGAACAAAGTCTTCTGTGACCATGTTAGTGACTTTCCCTCACTTCTTTCCCTCTCCATCCATAAGCTCTGGCCCAACTGATTAATAAAAACAAATCTGAAAGAGGAATGGAAGTCTTAAATATGTTTGTCTTTCTATGAATTTTGTGGAAGCAGATGCCAGGAGAAGGGGAGAAGAAACCATCTGCATGGTCTGTCTACAGTAAAGCTGCAGCTCGAGCTCGCATTCACAAGACAGCACCACATATATTCCCTAAGAATGGGAAAACTCACAGGTAATCCTGTGTGATCTACTCTCTTCCTAGTTTGCTATAAGGCTCTGAAGCACAATCACAGCTGTCCATGCAACATACACTGGTTTATTTGACACCAATGTAGAGTGAAACAGGAGGCCTTCTTGGGGAGAAGTCCTGGTGCAGAAGTGAGGATGCTTTTCTGCAGCTTCAGGATTTGCACCCTACAAGACAAAGGAGACAAACTGAAGGCTGGCTCGCTCAGGGATGGTGTTATTTCTTGGTGCAGATCATAGAGGCAGCATAGATGTAATCAAAACAGAACTCACACTCTTTAAACAAAAGATGCTGATCACAGGAAAGCTGGGCATATGTGTAGTTGTGTCATTTAGGGACATGTTTCAGTGATGGAATTAGGGTTAATGGTAGGACTCAATCCTAAAGGTCTTTTCCAACATAAATGATCCTATGATTCTGATTGTGGAACCATTTGTTTAATGATAATGTGGCACTTGAATAAAGAAGGAAGGAGAAATTCCTTGGGGGGGGCTTTGGACACCTTTCTCTTAAACTGTAAGTCACTGGATTGTTTCTTCTTAGGAAGGAATTGGTACATCTTGAATCTTTGATTTTATGCTAATTTTCCTTCATATGGTCTGTTTCTGTTAAGAACCTAGACTGTCTGTAGTGTGTCATGGTAAGCAGCATGTAGATCAGTACCATGTGTTAAAGCTGGAAAGTTTCTTCTTTTTCTTTCTTGGTTTGAAGCAGCTTGTATTAAATACTTTACCCTCCCCCTTGTTTCTCAGTTGTATGATTAGGAGCTGCTCTACTACTTGTGCATTCTGTAGTAGTTGGACACTTGGCCCTGAAATCTAAGGTCGGTTTTCATCGATGGGGATTTCCTGGGCACTCACACGCCTTTCTTTTGCATCTTCTCTCCAGATCCACTTCTAGGGTAATCACACCACTGTTATGGTAAAAGCTGTGCAGTTTAACTTCTCTAATTATGAGACTATTAGGCCACTGTCAAGACATTTGCTCAATTATCTTGCAGTGAATTTGAACACAAGTGTCAAACATGGTTGACTATTAAGTTCATGTCATTTATCATTCCTTCTAAGGAATTCCATCTTGCTCTTCCTGACCAAAGTGGTTTTCAGTATAGTGGGCAGTTTTCAATCTCAGTATAAGCAATTTATGTCTATTCTTTTTTTTCTTCCTCATTGATGTGGAAGGAATTATGTGTCCTTATAATTAAAAACATCAAACTTATTCACTACCAGCTGAATTTTGTTAGACTAAGCAAAACTCTCCTCAAATGATAGAATCTTAAGTCCTCTGATCCTTCTCATAACCATGTCCACACTTTTTTTTTGGTAGAAAGATAAATTTAAATTGGTGGAATAGAACTGCACATATTATTCCTAAATATAGCTTGCCAGGGCTTTGTATTACATCACAACTACCCTTCCTGCTTCTGGAAATTCCCCATGTAGTCAATGAAAGATCATGCATCCTCTGTCTGCTTCATGACGGCTGCTAACAAGCCTGGTTTTATTTGAAGGGTATTTTGGTGAGCTTTCTGCTTCTTTGATAGTGTTACTGAAGTTTCTTGTAGCTAATGTTTACTTGACTGGAGGCACCCTGGCTAGGCCATAGAGAATGAAAGGTTTTAGGCTCACTTCTGGGCATTAGGGACGGGACTTGTATATTCCAGCTGCTTTTTGGAAGAGGTGGAGTGTGTTGACAGCGTACATAAGGCAAAGAGTGTCTGTCCTGTGCCCCAAATGTTTATCCATTTTAGCACCATAAAGAGCTTAGTCCTAATGAAGTTGTGGGAAATTTATTAAAATCCATTCTAGACTGCAGCACCATATAACTTCAGCAACTCCTATCCTGCCCCTCCACCACTCCAGCTTTTGAGCAGCCTGAAATGTTTTGGTGGGTTTTGTTTGTTTGGTTTTGGTTTTGTTTTGGTTTTTTTTTGTGGTTTGTTTGTTTCTTGGTTTGGTTTTTTTTGAATCCACATTAATTCCATGTTCTGCCTCAGTATTGCCTCACAATGGTTTGAACCAGAAAAAAGTGAACGAGTGTCTGGGAAAAGATGCAGGACAAGGATGGGATCACACAAAGCTCACATCACCACTGAGAGAGGCGTCTGTTGGACCATTGACTTCAGTCATATCACCCCTAACGGGGCTGCAGAGCTGCATGAAACCACTACGTGAGGGATATGTGAGGCTGCTTAAATAAAACCAAGTCCTTCATTGGGAGCCTATATATTTGGCTTAAGAGATATGAGCTGAAGCAACAGGCTTATGCTGAAACTCCTAATCCAGAGCAGGTATATTGAGTATAAAAATGTTCACGGTTATTTTCTATTCTTACCTCAATGGTGAAATAAGCAAAAATGACACTATCCTAAATTAAAAGCATTTACGTCCCATAGGTTATGTAGAGCGAGATGAAAACCTCGGTATTGTTTGAGAGAAGCCGGACCTGCGAGTTCAGAGCTGCTGTAGCGTAGCCTAGAACACCAAGACGAGAAAAATCCCATTTGCAAACAGACGGAGCCTACTACAGACCCGGCAGTATTTGGATAACAAAATGGCTGTGGCTATAGGTGATCCACAGGAGCGCAGCTGGAAGCAGGGGAGCGGGGGAGCCCCAGCCCCGCACTCCGGGTCCGGTCCGCGGCCGCGCTGGAGCGCGGAGGGGCCGTGCCGCAGCTACCGAGAGCCCGTCCCAGGCACTTACTGCGGGAGCGGCGAGACGCGGGGCGCGCAGCCCCGAGGCGCACACGGCCGGCGGCTGCGCCCTCCCGGCGGGGCTCCGGTGCCGCCGTCCCGCTCCGCTCCGCCGGGCCGTGCCGAGCCGAGCCGAGCCGAGCCGTGCCGGAGGGGCAGCGCGGGGGCTGCGCGGGTCCGGCGCCCCTCGGGGCGGGCGCGGGCCCGGTGCCGGCGGCGCGGGGCGCAGGCGCGGGGGACGCGGGCATGCGCGCTGTGCGGCGGGGAGCCCGATCTGATAGGGAGCAGGGGCTGACACTACCCCCGTGTGGGCGGCGGAACGTCCCGAGGATGACGTGCGGCGTTCTCGAATCCCGTGTCTCGCTCGCTCGCTCGCCGCCGCCGCCGCCGAAGGAAACGGGAAAAGCAACAAGGAGGCAGGAGCAGGCGCGGCGCCATGGCGGCCCTGGAGCGGCCCGTGCCCAGTCCCGAGGCGTTCCTGGGCCAGCCCTGGGCCGCCTGGGTGCGGGAGGCCGCCCCCCCGCACGCGCACGGCGCCGCCCCCCCGCACAGTAAGGGCAGGGACCGGCCGCGGTCCGGCTCCGCACGCCGCTCCCCCCGGAGCGGGGCCGGGGTCCGGCCGGGCCGCCCCCCCTCCGCTCCCCTCCCTCCCTCCTCCCGCCGGGGCCGGGAGGTGCCGCCCCCCCGGGCGCTCAGCTGACGCTCGGCCGAGCCCCCGTGCCATGTGTGCGGGAGGCGCACGCCGCGCCGCGCCTGCCGTGCCGCTGCCCCGCGGCGCTGGGCCGGCGCCGCGGTGGGGGAAGGGGGCGAGGGGGAGGATGCGCGGAGGGGCCGGAGGATGCCGCGGGCGGGGAGGGGGGGCCCAGGGTGCTGCCGCGGGGGGCCCGGCGGTTCCGCTCCCTGGCAGATGCTCCGACCATTGTGCTTTTGCTGTTGCAAATAGAAACACTGCTCACCTCCTCACCTCTCCTCCTCCCCTCGCCAAACAATAAATGCACACCTCAGGGCCCTCGGCGCTTCCTGACTCTGCTTCTCTTCTGCAGGTGTAGATCTGGAAGAGACTGGAAAGGAGGGTGGAAAAAGCAGGGAGGTTATGAGGCTTAATAAAGAAGGTAAGTGGATAGTGCTGGCACACCTCTCTACCTGTCTGTCTCTTGGTGCTTGTGAATGACTGTGGTTTGGCCTTGACAGGGTGGTCTGATAGCATATGGATTTCTCTGCCGTGAAGAACGTTTCAGGGTTGGATACAGGCAGATGACTGCCACTGTGTCAACTTCTTTTGAAGTAAGGGTATAACAGGTGTATACACGCAACTGACAGATGTGGTAAAAGATGAGACAATTTTGAGGCAAAAGACAGCTACACATCAGTGGCCATATTGGATTTTTTTGTGGACCCTGTCCCTTGGTGCAACATTCCAGTTGCTCATGTGAAGATAAGCATATAAACTTTAAACATTATATTATTATTATTGTTAGCAACTTAGTGGAGATGTTTTCCCATGCAGTGAGAAAGGGTTTGTTACCATCTTTGAGTTCTTTCACTTTAGCTCAAATCACATTTTGTTCTTCATTTGCACTGCTGAGTGTGACCTACAGTCAACTGAGCAGCCAGCATCAAATATTATATCAGGTTACACTAACCCATGTATATATGCAAAACCAAATAAAATTAGTCATTTGGGCCATAACTTCTTCTGGTGCCATCAGTGTGAACAGGCAAACTCCAGGTTAATGCTATTTGCCAGTATGCCAGGCCTGTCACAGCTCTGTCTGCTGTGAGAGGAGAAACATTTTGTTTGTGATGTGTGTCATAAACATCATGTTGAGGTAACACCTAATGGAAGCAGTGAAATAGTTCAGGATGCTTTTTCAAGTAGCTTTGTTTTTGTTTCTGTTTCATTAAGAAAGTGCTTTGCGTACACAACCTCTCTGTCTTGGGAAATACTTCTTGGGAAGTCAGTTCATAATGAACAATCCCATCATAGTGAAACTTTGGTGTGACTTACCCATGCTGAGAGAAATCCCACTATTACCTGTAATGTCATAAAATATATTCTGAAATGATGTGAAGTTTCTCATTACATTACAGTTGTCATTCCACATGCATTCGATTTTGAGCATCTTGGCAGCTCAAAGGAATCTTATGTTTTCTAAACAAGCTCTTGAAAAAAGAATGAATTAATGAGTAATGTAGATTTGTGTAATAAACTATAAAATTGCACAGAGTATGCATTAAAGTTGTTTAAAATACCATAAAACTTCCTTTTTAAAAGACCTTTACAGAGATGCCAAGGTTGATTGTGTTCCTGTCTTGATTCTTACGTGCCTGAACCTCTCTATTTTGTCAGCCCAAAGATAAGTTAGCAGCAGAACTGAGATTTTCGTGAAGTTATTTATAGGTAAAAGGTTCAAGGCTCTGTACATATATCAGTAATGTTGATTCAAAAATAATTGAACAAAAATTTTGCTACTTCAGCTGTGCCTTCATAAGGAGCTTAATTTGTTGAGATAAAATGTTTTGTGCACAGAAGTCCTTGAACACAAATTCCTGTTAGAAGCAGGGGACATAAAGATTGAAGCATCTCTGCTCCTTAGTTACACATAATATGCAAATTGTTTCCTAGAAAGATTCAGTGTAAATTGTTTGGTTTTTGGGGGGTCAGAGACTCCATCAAAGGAATTCTATTTAAACTCACTAACCAGAAAAATTACTTCCAAACAAAGCATAATGTCATTGCTGACATTATGATCATGACAGGTGTGAAGCACTTACTGGCTTTTATAGTACTTATGTCATAATACCGTGTAAAAAAACCAAAATTGACTGTTATATTTAGAAAATAAAAAGCCTTAGGGATGTTATTGCTTTCAAGTAGTAACTTGTGTTAGATCACATAGAAAGAACTTCATGAAGTTTGAATAAATGAGTATGTATTGAAATATTTCTACTGTATTGACTTAGGCAGTCTGTTAATACAGGTGTCTTCACCACACCCATCTGTGTGTCTGAACACCCACTGTAAATCTTCCTTGGGCCCCACAGTCCTTATTGGTAAAGGTGGGGGAAGATTTTAAGAGTTAGATTGGTCTGCAAGAAACATTTCTCATGTATTTGCAGAAATGTGCTTGTGCTTTTACTCTGACCTTGCTCGTGTGTTGTGTGACATGTTGAATTTTTTTGCCTGCTTCGTTCATAGATGAGGGTTGTGGTTATGATAGTTCTGAAAACAAAACCCAACTCCTTTTTTTACAGTCCTATCAACTTGAGTAGACCTTTGTAATGGCATCTGTGGTGCCAGGAGATTGTAAGTGGTGTCTTAGAAAAATCAAATGTTACTTGTAACCTACTTGTATCAAGTAACCAGGGGCAACGGATGGACAGGATTTTAAGTATCAAAAATTACTGTTCTGTTTGATAAAGATAGTGTAAAACCTGATCTCTCTGCACTTACTTATTATTTGTCTGCACTTCCTCATCTTTAGTTGATGTGACTAGGTTTATGCAGCCATCCCTTTGTAAGCAGTTTAGCAGGAAGGCTTTTCAGATGAGTGAGACTGTGTGCAGAGCATGGTGGGAGCTAAAGAGTGGGAATATGTTGGTTTTCAGACCACAACAAGGTGTTTCACTTTGGTTTTGTAGAAAAACAATGGTGTTAGGTGGTGAAAAGTGATTCCACTTAGCTTGATCCCCGCTTTGCTGCCTCCTTTCTGGTTGTGTCCCGTGTGTGTTTAGGGTGGTGGGCTGCTCTTCTTCCTTGCCCTGGCCCAGGAGAGGATGTGGGAGGCAGCATTTCCTGGAGGTGGGGGTAGGAGCACTGCCAGGTGTCTGCCTGCCCAAGGGGTTGCTGCTTGCATCCCTGGGCAGAGGGCTCACAGTCTGACTGTGCTGTTCACTTCTGTAATGCAAGGGATGCACTGGGGCTGTGTGCCCCCTGTGCCCCATCTTAGGGGTAAAAGTACAGACACAGGAGTATTGCCCACTGCTTTCCTTTATTCTGCAGTGTAGATGTAGGCAGCACAGAGGGAGAGAAATTTCCTGAACGTTTGTTCAGTTTTCTAGACAGAATTGCTTTTTGCATGCTAACACTTACTCTGAGTTTTCCTATAGCAAATGCATTCTGTCCATGGTTGACTTTTACTGGCATGTGGATTTGTAGAGAGGGGATTACAAAGTTCCAAGTGTTCACAGAAAATGAGAAGTTTTTAATATAAATGTTTGTGCCAGAAAAGAAACCCCAAAACTTATCTGCTAATCTAATCAGGAAACAGAAACAGTATTGTGTAACTTATCTGACAAATCACTGCCAAGCAACCAGCTTGGCTAAAAGAGGGGTTATCAGAATTAGAGCAGCATTTGGAATTTATGTTGAATTTTAAAAGGTTGAATGGCATATTTGAAGAATTGAAGATTTTCTTGCAGATAGCAGGCATAGTAAAAGAAGTATTTGAGAGTTTGTGTTCTGTAAAACATCACAGTTACTGTGTGCCTGAGGCAGGTACAGTGTTCTGTTATTATGAGCCATAACCTGTAGATGATTAGAGATTAATTTTGGAGGCTTGTGTTTTACTTTATGCAATATCTGAAAAATAATAGAAGAATGGGATTTTTTTTGTTTCATGTACAGGACTTGTATTAATAATTGGTTTAGTAATGTGCAGGCATTGATTGCTATAACTGTTTGTAGATAAACACAGGCTGTAAAGGAGCAAAAGATATCCTTTGAATCTGTGAATTACAGCAGAGTTAAGTATGACCTGTGGCATTTAGGTCTGTGTCTGGGTACTTGGTGTCATAGTCAAGTTCACTTTCCCAGTTCAGTGGGTTTGTATTATTGAAGTTTCAATCTGATGATGTGTGTGTTTTGTCTTGGATAATCTTTTCACAAATCATAGTGATTCATTATTGTTTGGCATTAAGAATGTTATGTAAAAAAATTCTAATTGTCTTTCTGATTTTATGTTACACGATTTTTATTGTTCCACCTCAAACTTGACCATTTTACTTTATGATTGCACATGGAAACTGGAATTTTAAATCTATTGGATAATTGTTTACAGTGTATTTTTTTCCTATTTTGACTTCCCCCCACAAATATATG